CCCCCCCCCCAAATAAATAAATAAAAAGGACTAGGGGGGATATAGTTCAGTGGGAAGACCCTGGATTTCATCCCCAATCCCCTCACACACACAGACACACACTGGAAAAGTTATCTTAATGAGAATAATAAAACTTTAAGAACTCCAAGTAATATATCCCAAATAGTCTAAAGTACATAAAATCAATGTTAATATTCATGTTCTTACAAAAGCTTTGAAGGCAGTATGAATTTGAATAACTGCTTAAATTAGTGAAAAAAATTTTAGGTTAAAATTCTGACCCCAAAGAGCTACAATTTGCTTGACTCACTCCTAGTATAACTGGTCCTATCAATAGGTACTGTGCTCAGTGTGGATGCCAGGCCTTACTTACTCCTTGTCTAAAGCACAAACCCTGCTGCTTTAGACACTGCCCAGATGCTTTCTTCACTGAGCCCCAGGAAACTCACCACTCTATTTCAAACTCACTGCCTTCAGATTTTAGAATTAGCTGGATTATTCTTTGAGCTCCTTCCTGATGAACAAGAAGGTTGTTGAATATGTCACGAAAACTCATCAGGAGTGGTCAACCAAAAGGGAGCTCAAATACTTTTCATATGTGGTTAGATTCTAAGTCTCACAAATCAAATTTATTAGATGTACTCATTGTGCATTAAATGCAGGGCCAGGCGTAGTGGTAAACCTACCTGTACTCCTTGCTGCCTGGAGGCTGGGGTGAAAGGGACTGCTTGAGCCCAGGAGTTCCAGATCAGCATGGGGAACACAGAAAGAACCTGTCTCAAATGGGAAAAAAAAGTAGGGACCCTCAAACGTTCTTCAAATGTCTGTAAAGCTTAGAATTTAATAAGGAAGCCTACAAAAAAGATGAAGCTGTTTTGTTTGAGAAAAGGTCTTGCTACATAGTTCAGGCTGGCCTTGAACTCATGGTGATCCTCCTGCTGCACCCTCCTCAGTGCTGGGATTACAGGCATGTGAATGAAGCTGTTTTGGAGCCCTTTTTATTATCCTTGACCGCTAGTATCTCAAATTTGAATACTTCAAAAACAGGTTAGCTCTGTCCTTTCTGATGAAGTTTGGCCAGCTATTTCTCAGGTACAGAGAGCAGGGGAATCCACCACTTATTCCATCAACTTTAATTTTTCTGGGGGTTTAGCTTTGTATGTGTCACCATTATAAAAAGGAATAAAGTTTATTCACAGCAAGAAAACTACTACCGTGGACTCTAAGCATAGTCCCAGAACATTGGATAGATTCCTTCTGCCAGTTTTACAGACAAGAAGTGAAACTATGCCACTGAAAAATTATTTTCCAAATGAGTTTTAGAAAATGAACATCAACCTAGGCAACCTAGGAAATCTCACAATGAGGGCAGAAAAAAATTATTTGTATGTCAACATTTTTCTTTTTAAACTCATCATAATCTTTGGTCATAAAAATTTCAAATTGTTCTTAAAGTCTCTAAGGAAATGCTCCGGATTTAGGTAAAACCCCTAGGGTGCTGATTAACATGGATCTATCTGAATCTCTGGCTCTATGCACTTATCTATGTGTACGTATCTTATTATTTCTCTACAATATTTTATATCTCTTTGACTCTTCTCCTACTCTTTTTTTTGGTGCTGGGGATCGAACTCAGGACCCTGCACTTGTTAAGCAGGCAACACAACCACTGAGCTAAATCCCTGGCCCTCCTACTCTCTTTTAACTGAAATACTTTTCCTTAAAAATGAGGTATATTCAATGTTAAGTAAATAAAAGCCATGTAAGTTAAAAAAAAAAAAAGTTAAAATTACTCATGATTTGGTATAGCCATGACTTAAAAGTAATTTTTTAGTAACCCCAGCACTATGGGAGGCTGAGGCAGGGAGATTGGAAGTTCAAGTCCCACCTGGACATAACAAGACACTGCCTTAAAATGAAAAAAATTTAAAGTGCCAGGGATCTAGCTCAGTGGTAGAGTGCCCCTAGGATCAATCCCCAGTAGTGGGGGATACACACAAATCCAAATTTTTTTATACATTGTAATATATAGTATACATTAAAATAACTACTAATTTCCTATGTGGCAGAAAAAATTTTTAAACAATCCTCACAGGGACTTAACCCATAGGAAACATAAGCCAAGAGCGATGGTTTAGAATTTCTTTCTTTTTTTGGTGCTGGCCATGCCAGCACCATGGTTCGAACCATGCCTCGAACCATGCCTCATGCATGCTAGGTGAGCACTCTGCCTTTGAACTACATCACCAGCTCCCAGAATATTCTTTAAAACAGATTTCATTTACTCCATATCCAATTTTACTTTGCTGATTCTGCAACCTGGAAAAACTTAAGGGATTCTATAAGTAGGCATTTACTAATTTCCAAATTTCTACTCTGATTTTTTTTTTTGGTACTGGGGATCAAACTTTGGTCCTTGTGCTTTCAAGGCAGGTGGCAGAACCACTGAGCTAAATCCCCAGACCCTCTACTCTGATTTTTAAGCTGTGATTGAATTTATGAAAAGTTTACAGGGCTAACAGAAGCTTACATTTTAATAGCCATGTATTAACTAATATGTCTCATGGGAATTAGAGCTAATGTATGCAACCTTAAAACTATGAAAAAATGGTAATAAAAGTCAATAAAGCTTGAGGAGGGCAATAATTTATGAATAAGAAATGTCATGGGATTTGTTTTCAGGATGAGTATAAAAATTCTGAAGAAGCTGCTGCTATTCAACTAGGATAGTGTCCACATTTTCTTGAGTGAGCTCTGACTCTAAGGCACAAGGCAAATCGAGGTGTTCTTGTGACGAGCGAGAACTTTTCATAGGGACCTCAGCCCAGTTATCACAATATGGCTGAAATCTCTGGGCCAGTGCATTAGCAAACTTTTGGCACCGGCTGAATCTGTAAGGTTTACCTTTGTGTGTATACATGTGTTCCAGCAACTGGCTCTTTCGAAGAAATTTATGACCACAGATGGTACAAATGATTTTTCTTTTCCTTGAAAAGGAAAAGTTACAGTTTAATTCCACAGGTTCTGTGTCTTTGGATATCAGAGATACTTGACTGATTTGCAAAGCCTCTGTGGTGCCCCAGTTCGAGCGGTCAGGCTGCTGTTCATTCTCCTTGACAATGAAGGAGTTAAGCCTGTGACATTCAAGAACCTCACTGTTTTCATGAAGTGGATGGACTTCGCCAAGGTCATTGCTTTCCAGAATGGAAGCAGGGACACCAAACGGAAGGGATCCAGACACATGGGTATGGAGATGTTGTCTTAAATTACTTCGGCAATCAAAACGTTCCCCACAGTAATGGCACAAGTGTATTTTGATACTGTTTTCTATAAAAGAGGGGTCCATCACCTCTGATGAGGGCGAGGGGTTGCTCTGGGACATCACAGGCTCTGGGTCACACCTTTCCTGCTTGATGGACACTGCGGGCTCCTGGTGTTCCTCCAAGGCCTGGGCAGCAGGACAGGCCCTCTGCTGGTCTGCAGTGCCATCATCTAGCCCAATAGCAAGAGAGAGCTGCAACTGGGGGTGGTCACCCTGGGTGGCAGTTCTGTTTCCATTGCTAGTGGAAGGAGTTTCTTTGACCTCCAGACTTTGTTTGACAGCTGTTTTTTGGGCTGTTGAGATCTGAATGCCATACAAATTTGAGGACTGCACAGTCTCTGGTGAAAACACTTGATTCATTTCAGTCGCAATGTGAGAAAGATAGTCAGCGTGAAGAAATCGAATCCCTTCCTCCAAACGACTATGATCCACAGTCTGTTTTGGCCCTTTCCCCGTGTACATAATATGTAACAAATAGCTGAATATGTCGGGCTGGATGTCAGTTGGTTGTATTTTTATGCATTCACTGTTAAAAACAAAAACAGACCCACACAAAATGAGACACAACCTAGCTGTCCTCTTAATTACCAGCAGTCTTAGGCTAAAGAAATTTCTCCCTAAGTGGTTTAAATTTAGCAATCCGCCTTGATGAAACACAGTAACGAAAGCTTCCACTGTCCTCTCCTACCAGTTTTATGACCAATAACAAGCCTTCATGTTTTCAATCTACTTCCTAACGTTAGGAAACACAGATATTCTGATTAGTTCATTAAATGATTCCTAAGCAATATGCATGCAGGTGCCAGGGGGCAGAAAAATGATGGCTAAAATAGATACCATGCTCTTAAGGAATTTAACAGTCTATTGAATATATGAGAAAAAAAAAGACAATGGACACATGGACTCAAACAGACACCCTTATGCCAATGTCCACTGTAGCATTACTTACAGTAGCCAGAAGTACAATCTAAGTGTACACCAAAGATGAATGGATAAACAAATATATACAACAAAATATTACTCAACCATTAAAAAAGGAATAAAGTCCTGATACATGCTATAACAAGGATGAACCCAAGAAACATGCTAAGGGAGACTCAAAAGGAAAAATATTACATTTGCTACTTATATGAGATATCTACAATAAGCAAATTCAGAAACAAATTAGATTTGAGGTGGGAGAGTTTGAGGAGGAGTGGGGTGTAATCGCTTAACGGTGATTAGGGTGATGAAAAAGTTTTGGGAATAGATAGTAGTGATGGTTGTACAACATTATACTATAAATGTAACTCCTCCCACTGAATTATATAATTAAAAGTAAAATTTTTTGCAGTACTGGAGATTGAATCCAGTATAAGGTCTTTATATAAGCTTATATTCTCAGCCCCTTTTTTATTTTGAGACTGGGTCTCACTACTTGGCTAAATTGCTCAGGTTGGGCTCAAACTTGTGATCCTCCTGCCTCAGCCTCAGAGTACTGAGATTACAGGCAGGTGCCATCACATCGTGCTAAAATGGCAAAAAAAAAGCGCATATATATTATATAT